CACAGTTTGGGGAGTATCTTGTGTTACATCCCACCTCAACAAACAAGCTGAGCACCTGCTAGGTGCTAGGGAATGTGCTGGGCCCTTTCCAACTTACTTAGTTTTTATGACAACCCTGAGAGGGTTGTAATAAGTACTACTAGACTTACTCTACATTAGGGGTCAGTACTATTTCTGAAAATGGCCAAAGAGTAAATATTTTGAGCTTTGTGGGCTGCTCAGTTTCTGTCACAACTAGTCAGTACTACTGCTGTAGCTGAAAAGCCACCATGGACAGTAGAAAAGTAAGTGAGAGTAGCTGTGTTCCTGTAGAACTTCATTTTCCAAAACAGGAGACAAGCTGAATTTGGTAATCCCTGCTCCAGGTCATCTTCTGAGATTGGGGCCAGAAGCAAATTCTAAGATTAGGATCTAAGATTTAGAATCTTAGAATTCTAAGATCATGTCCCACTTATTTGTTAGGGATGTGCTCCCAGGAGAAATTGATAAGAGTGAGAGGACAAGGAAGGGAAAAGGTCAAGCAGGATTGTGATCACAGGCAAAATTTCCCTGAAGGTAGTTTCAGCCTGAAGAGTCACAGATGCGGTCAGTCAGAAGCACACACCCCCCCCAAACTTAGGGACACTCCAAGGGCATTGGGTTGGAGCAGTGATAGTGTCCAGGACTGTTGTGTGGCAAGTAAGGGGTGAGGTAAGAATGCCATCTGACTCCAGAGCTTCTGTTTCTCCCGCTACACCATACATATGGGCACAGAGAGGCATTTAGAACTCTGCTAAAGCCGGTAAAATGACTGAAGATGGAATGTCACAGCTGAAGGTGAGTGGACGTCTTGAAAACTCGGAGATAGTTCTGCATAGTGGTTTAAGAGCTCTGGTTCTGGCAAAAGACAGGCCTGGATCCAAATTCCGACTCTACCACTGGACTATGTGACCTTGAGCACATTTCTTCTATGCTTTGGACAGCCTCAGTTTTCCCATCTAGAAAATGGTAATGATAGAAACAGTTATCTTCTATACAAAGGTACTTTGAAAATAAGCTGAGAAAATGCTTGGAAATGCATAGCATAGGACCCAGTATGCAGTGACTGTTAGCAATCATTATCATTGAAAACGGGACTCACAGGGGCAGTTTATCACAGGCTGTTCAGAGGGTGCCCTGCCTGAGGATTATGTGTCTGGTCCCTGGGGCTGCTGGAATGTCTTCATAGCAGAGGAATACATATGGCTGTCCCAGCTCTGCCATCATAATGTGTCTCTGATTCTCCTTGCTTGACTCCATGCTCTGCAGGAATCTTCTGATCATAATTTGGCTTCAGTTTGTATTTCCTGTGTAGAGAGAAGAGACTGACCAGAGGATTGCCCGTCAAGTCCCCACGGTGGCTATTTTCCTTGTTTTAAATTACTATTTGTGAATTGGTATTGAGGCTTACACGTCAGTCTCTTGGTGTTGGGAGAGCACCCACATAGCTCTGGACTCTCGAGTGATGGGTTTTCGGATCTGCCTCAGTTTTCCAGGGCTTTGCTTTCCCAAGGCTCCACGGGGGGGGGGGGGAGCGGGGACCTTCCCAAGCCTCGTCTTAGTTGTTAGCCCCAAATCACTGAGGCAGCAGGATTAGAAATAACTACTTTATAAGCATGACTGTCCCTGTGATCAGATTTTGTTCTTCCTTCATCTTTGGTGAATTTCTCTTAATTTCTCTTAGAAGATGCTACTCCTTTACCAAGTGGAATAAAGGAAAGATATTTGGGGTTGTCTGCTGTTGGGCAGAGCTCTGTGGGCATGAGGTCAGGTATAGGGTGGTAAAGGGATTGTGGGTCAGAGAACCCAGTGGGATTTCAGCCTGAACTGAGTTAGGGTCTCTTGTTCAGCCACTCTCACCTCCCATCCCATGTGCTGTATCTACCAGAGCTTGCTGTAGAAAGCATGCATTGTGTTTTCTCAGGCGAGACGAGGCTCATAGGAAGGAGCAGCTGAGGACCAGCCAGCATCATCTGGGTGCCTGACCTGGTACCAAGCCCTGCTAGATCAGGGCAGTCCCAACAGCTGATCCTGTAATTCTCTTCAGGACAAAAATGGGGATTAAAAGCACTCTAATCCCAAGAGCAGGGCATCCCCATGTGGGGCCACCAAGAGCTGTCATCCAGCCCTGTTCTCAGGCTGAGACTGACCACAAGAGGACTCAGAAGACACCAACAATCTTTGAAGGAAGTCATGCTGTCTGGACCGCAGATCCACATCCACCCCTCTAACCTCCCCCTGTGCTTTCGCCTGACCCAGCTCTCTTTGGGACTGCTTTTCAGGCATTTCCCACCAGTGTTAAGATTCTTCAAGACTGTTTGGTTGTCAGCTTCCCTGAAACCTTTGCCCACCGCACCTAGGTGGGGACAGGGATCATCCTATGTGCTCCCACAGCCTGTCCCTATTGAAACACTCATCACAGTACGTGGCAGTTGCCTGATTACACATCTGTTCCTCCCACCGAAGTATGAGCTCCTTGGGGTCAGGGACTCTTACCCATCAGTAGAGCCCAATACATGGTGCTCAGCATGCAAAGGAATTACGGGAGATCAGCCGCACTGTTTCCCCGCCTAGTGTCCCCTTCCCTTGTTAACTCTGCCTTGGAAGCCAAAAGTAGGATAATAACCCCTAATGAGCCTTCCCAGAGGTTCTCTGAGAGGTAAGATATTAGGAGAGTACTAATGATATCCTAATAATATTATTATCTTAATGATGCCAATATGACCCCATTCTGCAGAGAAAACCAAGGCTCTGTGCTGAGTGACTTGCCAAGGCGGTGTGACTGGAAATGTCAGAACCCAGGTTTTTGAACTTCATTCAGAGCTTCAGCTGCTCTCCAGCTGTTTTAGTTCTTAAATTCAGTGAGCACATCCTGCATGTAGGCTGTCTTGTTGTCTTCATTTTTCTGAATAGGAAATGCAAGTTCCTACTTCCAGAGCAGCCAGGAATGATAGAGCCAGGATATGTGCCACACACCTGCATGGCTGCAAGCCTCCTGCTTTTTTCTGGACCTCAGTCTGGACATGCTGCTTCTCCCTCAGTATAGGAAGGTTTGGGCTGAGAGACAATTGGCCATGAGTGGGCGGATAATTGGGAGGGGGAACCAAAGCTAACCTAGCCCTTTTGCCACCCACCTTTTCTCATCTCAGGCTGTGGGAACAGTGCCCTGAGCTACGAGCTGCTCCTCGGGGGGTTCCCTGATGTGACCAGTGTGGACTACTCATCAGTAGTGGTGGCCGCCATGCGGGCTCGCTATGCCCATGTGCCCACGCTGCGCTGGGAGACCATGGATGCACGGGCACTGGGCTTTCCTGATGGCTCCTTTGATGTGGTGCTTGAGAAGGGCACGCTGGATGCCCTGTTGGCTGCAGAACGGGATCCTTGGACTGTATCCTCTGAAGGTGTCCACACTGTGGACCAGGTGCTGAGTGAGGTGAGGGAGCATCAAGAATGGAGGGGAAACCAAGAGGTGGGGATGAGGGGTTGAGGTTTCAGAAGATTGGATGAACTCAGAATCCAGAAGGACACATGGTTTGGGGCACTTACTCTCAGGACTGTGGTTACCTGAGGAAGAGTTAGGCTGGGTCGAGATTATAGGAGGCTGGAGTGGTCAGACTCACAGAGGCTGATGATTGGCTATTGGGTTGCCATGAGGATGAGGTAGAAGCCAGGTTCCAGACTGGGAGGGTGAGCAGTTGGCAGGACAGCAGTATCCCTGACCTGATATCACTCCCATGCTCCTTCCTGTCTAGAGTATATCCTGACCCCCACGGAATGGCCAGGGGCACGGAAGGAGGCTCACTCTTTTACCATGGAGAACGGGATGTAGGGTAGTAGCTGGGAGGGCATCTGGGGCAATACTGACCTTGGAGAACCTGGAGATGGACTCCTCACTGATGACTTCTCTGTCTGCCTTGCAGGTGAGCCGAGTGCTGGTCCCTGGGGGCCGGTTCATCTCACTGACCTCTGCGGCTCCCCACTTTCGGACTAGACACTATGCTCAAGCCCATTATGGCTGGTCTCTGAGGCATGCAACCTATGGCAGCGGTTTCCACTTCCACCTCTACCTCATGCGCAAGGGCGAAGAGCTTAGTGTGGCCCAGCTGGCCCTGGGAGCCCAGATCCTGTCACCCCCCAGGCCTCCCACCTCACCCTGCTTTCTCCAGGACTCAGATCATGAGGACTTCCTCAGTGCCATTCAGCTGTGAGGCCAGAAAAATGGCCCTCGAACCCTCCCTACCTTTCTGCCCTAGACTCCTTAGGTTGTTGTAATTCCTGACTCAGGGGTTAGGGTTCTGTCCAAGGTGCTCACATCCCAAGGGCCTGATGCTTTAGAGCTGATGGAAGCAACCCAACATGAAACAATATAGCCCAGGCTGAATTACATCCCAAATCCCAGGTTTATGGCTTCCTTCTTAGGCTCCTCAAATCCCTCCTGGGCTTCCCCAGCCACATGTGCCACCATACTGATCTACGTCGGCCCCTCTGCATGCCAGCCGGACCCAGAGGCCTGCATCCCTAGGATATGTTATTGTCCCCCATTCAACCTGGGTTCATCCACAGAAGGTCGCAGACTTTGAATCTAAATTGCTTTACAATTCTGACCCTAGCTCCAGCCTCAACTCTAGTGACCTTTCCTGCTCTGGTTTTATATTTACCCAAGAATGCCTGCCTGTACTTGGCAACACTTGCCTACCAGAAACATGCACCTGGGATTCTCAAGTACCCACTCCCCTCCCCAAAAGGCAGTGGAGCCACTTTGGCCTGGCTCCTGAGCAAACTGAAGCAGGAGACACACACAGGAAGGTCTGTGTTTATTCACACACTCCCGGTACAGTGGGGATGAAGGAACATTTACAAAGGACAACCCTGGGTTGAGAACATCTCTAGGGCCACAGGTGTCATCCGAGGGTGCAGAGCAGCCCCCTTTTGGGTTCCTAGGGGCAGGGTGCAGGGGTCCAAGGTACAATCAGACTTGGACCCTTGGAAGGGGATACCTGGAGGGAAGGGGTCTGCCAGAGAGCCGCCTGGGGTCAGGCCTGGGCAGACTGGCCATGTGTTTGTTGCCATGTTGGGGGCTTGTCCATTCCCACCCTCAACTCGTCCCACCTGCCAGGCGCAGAAGAGCAAGGACGAGACGGAGGGGGAAGGGTGCTAACCATGAGGGGAGCCAGTAAACAAAGAATCGGATATAAAAATACAAATGTGCTGAGGAAGTCCCTTAGAAATAGGCTGAGGCCGGGGTCACGCCAGACGGGGATGGGGGCGAGGAGCGGCCTGGAGGGGTGGGCCGAGCAGAGGAGGGTGGGAAGCTCATGCAAATACGCAGCCAAACATCCCCGGCCGCGCACGGTCGGACTCCGGCGGGGAGCCGGGTCTTCGGACCAGACCGGCCGGAGAGGGGCGGGGCGAGGGAGCCGTGCGGGAGGGGCTGGGTCCGGGCCGCGGGGCTCTGTCCTTTCCGGTGAGCGGGGTGGGGCTGCGGCCCGCGGTTCTAAAGTGCATGAGCGCGGCGGGCTCCGGGCGGGTCCGCGCCGCCGCCGCCGTGGTGCTGAAGCGGACAGCTCCGGAGTGGCTGGCAGCGGAGGCAGCGGCTCTGGCCCGGCGGCGGCGCGGCCCTGCAGCCCCCGCCCGCGGGCGCCTGGGCCCGGGCGGGGGGCGCCGGCAGCCGCATCGCCTGCCCGCGCGCCTGGCCGCTGCGAGGCGGGGCCCGGAGTCCGCCGCCCGAGCCGGCGCGTCTACACTCCGGAGGGCGGCTTCTCCCCCATCCCCTTCAGCACGTCGTCTATCCGGTCATCCTCGATCACCACTGCGCAGGGAGAAAGCGCATCAGCCGCACGGCCTCGGGGGGCGGCGGGGATGAGCCCCGCGGCCTCCCCAGTCGAACTCTCCAGCCGCCTCGGCTCTCGCAGCCGCCCTCCCGGTGCAGGAACGCCCCCTCTCCCCCGGCTGCGGCCCTCCGACCTCCCCGTCCGCCCGACCTCTCCCGCACCCGAGCCGAACCGGAGCCTTTGTGCTCTTGGGACCCCCTCTTCACCCCTCATTGCGGCTGACCCCTTCCTCACCCGGAATCTCCGGTTACCCCGACCCTCTTTCCCAACCCGACCCGCTCGACGCTTGAACCCTTCTTCCAGTCCTGGCACCAGCGGAGCCCCTTCCCCGTTCAAAGAGCCGAGACATCTGAGCCCCCGGCCCTCCTGGCCTCTCTCAGCTCGGACGCCCCTCCCCGCCCGAAGGCTCCTCGGTGGGATCCACCGACTCGGCGCTCGAGCCTGCAGGAGCGGCCGCGGCCCGCGTTTTCCCACTTCCCTGTGGCCCCGAGTGCCCGGCCGGCCCCTCCCCCTCGCCGGGGGCCGGGCTCCACTTCCAGAGGAGCGGAGCGTCGAATCCGGGGCACTGCGTTCCCGGGAGAGGGGAAGCGGGGAGCAACACTGCAGTGGGGACCCCCCCCCCCCGCCACCCCGGCCGGCGAGCGGCCGGCTGCGCTGCTCTGCGGCACGAGCTGCGGCCGGTGGTTGGGGAACCGCAGCCGGGAGGCGCCCGACGGAGGGTTTCTGGGTCGGGCGGTGGCTCCGGGGCCCGGCCGCGTACCTCTCTTGGCTCGGCCGATCTGGCCCAGCTTGGGGGGTCGCTTGGCTTGGTTGCCCGCAAAGAAGGAGTTGGTGTCTTGGAGGCGACAGCTGAAGGAGAGGTCGGAGCCCTCGGGGTCGGCGCCGAAGCGGCCCATCTTGTCCTCACTGTAGGGCAGGATCTCGGACATGGCGGGCGCGGGGTGGGCGCGGGACTGCGGCGGGGCGCGGACCGCGGGCTGGCTGCCGGACCGGCCCTAGCTCACCAGGCGAGCCGGCGGAAGGATGAAGTCATGCAGCATCCGGGGCTGCGGGGCCAAGCGGGGCCTCCTCCCCCGCGCCTCCGCCTCCCGGGCCGCTGGGCAGGCGGCGGCGGCGGGGACCGGGCGGGGGCGGCGCGCGGGGGGCGGGGGCGGGGGCGGCGGCGGCGGCGAGCGCGGAATGACGATGAGCGCCCGACTGCGGCAGAGCGCGGCGGGCGGGGCGCGGCGGAGGCGGGGCGGGCACCGGCCGCGGAGGAGAGGCGGGGCTGGGGGGGCGTCGGGAGGCTGCGAGACTCGCAGGGAGGAGGAGGGGCGGCTGTGGGAGGGTCGGACACAATGGCGGGAGCGGTGGCCGGGCGAAGGGCACTGGCCGGCGGCGCAGGATCTGGCACGAGAGGCGGGACGGGAGGTGGTGGCCGGAGCCCGCGGCCCCCGAGAGGCGAGAGGCGAGAGACTCCGAGAGCCTAGCAGGTGGGAGCGGGAATCGGCGCGCAGGTCAGGGCCGGAAGGCGGGAACGAGTCTGGCACTGGATTTGGGGCGGAACGCTAGAGAATCGCGTGTCGGGTGCGGTGTGTGTTTTTCGCGGGTCCGCAGCGCTGGGGAAGGGCGCAGACCCGTGGGAACCGCGCTCGCGGTTGGCGCGCTCCGGTACCGGGCTGCGTGCGGGAGTCTGTGCTTCCCTGACTGCCCTTGCGTGTCAGCCTCTGCCCATCTGTATGTCAGTCTTTCTCTAATGAGTCTGTTTTGTCTATCTCTGTGCCCCATATTTCTTTGTGTTACGGTTCCTGTTTACGCCTGCCTGGTACCAGTCTCCACGCTCGGTTCATGTACCTCTATGCTTCATCTCCCGAGTCTCCTTGTGTCTCTCGGTCTTACCGTGCAGAGGTCTCGGTGGCCGGGCCGGCTGGCGCGCGCCCGGGCAAATGCCCACCCCCAGCCCTGCTGCTGGAGCCTATACTCGCGCTCAGAGCGTCTGCCGCGCCCTGCGCTTTCTCCGCCCCAGGTGCGCGAGCTGAGCTGGCACTGCGGGGAGAATGAATGGTGGTGTCGTGGAGGGGGGCGCCCTGGCTGCAGATGACTCGGGGAAGCCCGGGGCGCCTGAGGACACCGTGAGAGTGGGCGTGGGTCCAGAGGTAGAAGGGGAGGGACAGAGGGCGCCTCCCCAAGCCCTCGTTGAAGGGGATCACGTGAGAGGCCTCGCCTCACCAACGGGAATACACCCTCTTCTCACCCCGGCTCCCCAGACGGGCCCTCAGCTGCGGCGTCACCTGCTTGCTGGCGCTCAGGGGCTCCGCGCAATCACTGGCTTTGGGGTGGCGAGGGGAGTAGTGTCTCGCGTTCTCCTACAGTGACGACAGTACTGATAAAGGTAATAATCATTCCAGACGTTCAGTACACACTAGTGTTCAGTGCACAACTGAGGCAGAGAGGGTTCTCCACAGTCACTGGAGCATTTTATCCTCCACCCCCAACACACGCAGCTAGTGAGGCTGCTGGACGTCCTTCCTCCAACAGCTCGCCAAGTGCTAGTCCCTGGAACACAGAGTGGAATGCGGTGGTGGCTGCCTCGCAGGGACCAGGAATTGGCGGGGGGGGGGGGTTTGCCAGGGGATACCTCTGTGCAAGCCTCACTCAAGGCCCCAGGTCTGGGGGCCCATCCCTATCAAGCCTCCTCCTTGTCTCTGAGGTAAGGGCCGAAGCCGGAGATAGAAGCCCAGCTGGAGAGAGAGTCGCCCGAACACCTGGAAGGACAGTAGAGGCTAGAGCTCCGGATCTCTAGGGGCGGGTCCAGAAATCTCACCCCTGCTGCGGGTTTTGTAGCAATGGGTTCCGGTGCTGGTTCTGCCACTTTCTTTGTGACCTTGAACTGAAAGCCCCATAATTATAGTAACATTTTAGGAAAATATGGAAAGTCATACAAAACCTTTGAATACATATCTCCTTCTATCCTTCTCATGCATTTAAATAGTATGTGTGCCTCTCTGAGCCTCCACGTTCTAGTTTGAAGCACAGAGATGACAGAGCCTGTATTAAGGGAAGTTTTGGAAATGAAATCGTCCTGAGGTGAAATGGGTTGTCTCAGGAGGAATGAGCTGCCCCTCATGCAAAGTGTTAAAGGAGCTGGGAGATTTCTTACCAAGGAGAAGATGAGAGCAAGTGGGTGAGGAATTGAAACAATTCTCTTTTCACCCCCCAGAATGAAAGATATTGGAGAAATAACAATTTAACTTGGAATTCATTTGGTTGGCTTTTAAAAAAATTTAAAGAGAGAGAGAGAGAGAGAAAGAGAAACATCAATTTGTTTTTCCGGTTATTATGCATTCGATGGTTGATTCTTGGATGTGCTATGACAGGGGACTGAACCTGCAACCTTGATGTATCAGGACAACACTCTAACAAATTAAGCAACCCTGCCAGAACCAGTTAGTTTCTTAAATATTCTTATTCCTGTCCCTACTATGCATGCTCACTCATGATTAAAGCAAAAGACCTAAAAAATGGTAAAGATGTAGCAATATATAAACTTCTATTATATGATTAAAATGTTGGGGGAGTCCTTTAAATTGTGGCCCCCTATTTAAAATTCTGATGTTCTAGCCCTGGCTGGGTAGCTCAGTTGGTTGCAGTCTTGTCCCATGCACCAAAGGTTGTGGGTTCAATCCCCAGTCAGGGCACGCACCTAGGTTGCAAGTTTGATTCCAGGTTAGGGCATATAGGAGAGTCAATCAATCATTGTTTCTCACATTAATGTCTTTTTCTCTCTGTCTCTTTCCCCTCCTTCCTTCTCTCTCTAAAATCTACAAACACATCCTTGGGTGAGGATTTTTAAAAATTCTGATGTTCTGCATCCTGCCTGTGAGAAAAAATGCATTCTCAAAACTAAAATGCAATAAAATTTGTGTGACATTTTGTGATCATGTTTTGAATTTCTTAACTGAAAGTCCCTCAAAGCCAAGTGGACTCGATCCTTATGTTCTAAACAGAATAACATACCTTTTGGTGTTTGAATATTAATAACATTTTTATTCAAGTGGAAACTGTAGGTCTGTGTAGTAGGTTGAATAAGACCCCCCCCCAATTCATGTCCATTCAGAACCTCAGAATATGCCTTATTTGGAAATAGGTCTTTGCAGATGTAATTGCTTAAATTATGGGTGCCATACTGGATTTGGGTGGGCCCTACACTGAGTCACTGCTGTCTTTACAAGGAGAGGACAGATACATAAAGACACATGCACACAGGGAAGAAGTCCAGGTGGGGAAGCAGAGATAGGAGTGAGACAGCTGCAAGCCAAGAAACACCGAAGGTTGCTGGGAGTTCCTGGGAGATGGAAGACGCAAGGAAAGCTACCTGTCTAGAGACTTCTGGGGGAATACGGCCTGCTGCTACCTTGGTTATAGACTTCTCGCCTCCAGAACTGTGAGAATATGTTTCTGTTTGAAGCTACCTGGTTTGTGATACATTGTTACAGCATTCCTAGGAAACTAACGCAGCCTGTTACAAATATTTTTGGGTAATTTTCTAACATCTCTCATGACCATGTTTCACCTTTCTTTAACTCTGAGGAAGCTCACACCATAAGAGTATTTCTGGGACTCATTCTATTAGCAGGGGCTGACAAATCACAAAAAATGAGGGAGGCAGATCCGAGTAGATTAACATGGTGAGATCTCCAAGGCCTGCCAAAGTATCACCAGCTAATAATCATAGAGTATGGTTTCATGTATGTAAAAAAAGCATACACACATACATATGCATACATAGCCACATATGAAGTATGTGTTGAGCTATGTAAATACATGTAGAAGAAAGATCTGGAAGGAAACAGACCAAACTAATAATGGTTACCTCAGAGGATGGTACTGGGATCCCAGCAGGATGAATTTCATCTTTTACTCTATATTCTTCTGCAGTATTACATGTGCAATACAAAAGTTTTAATGATTTTTTTTCAAATAAAGGTTTATGATGACATAGTCCATTTACCAAACATCACACTCTGGCCCTAGACAAATCAATTCACTTAGAAAGGAGACTAGTAGGTAAGAGCATGGAGTTGAGATTCAAACTGAGGATCTGCCTTCTACCTGATGTGTAACTTTGGGTATGTTATTAAGCTTTCCTGTGTTTTAGGATCTTCTGTGAAACAGGGGTGGTGATACTGATAAAATCTGCATATTGGGTCCTCATGAGGATTAAATAAGTTACATAAAGTGCTTAGGTAAGTGCTGGACAGTAGAACTGTTAGCTATTATTATACAAGAAAGCATAAAGAAGTTAAAAGTAACCTCATCATTAGACATATTCATATTAACATTTTTGCATAGATTTCTAATTTCTTTTTTTAACCTATGCTTTTCTACTTTTTGCTAAACAAAGATGAGATTTTGTAACCCTTTACCTCCCCCACCTAACTACATGGAGAACATTTCCCCCTTGGCAGTTGCAACTGATCCCATTGTATGAGACACATTGTATCTCATTGTGCCAGTATTCAATGTTACAAAAGTCCTCTACTCTTCGGGGCTGAGTTTCCCTTCTGTTTTTGTTTGTTTTGTTATAATAGATAGTGCTGTGATGAACAAATGTTGTAGGGGAAAAAATGGCCCATATATTTTGTTCCTCCAATTAAGAAGTAGCATCTATATCTCCAACCCTGAATCTGGGCTTGACCCTCTGACTTGCTTTGCCCAACAGGGACATTTACAAATGTGATGCAAACAGAGACTTGAAAAATACTCCTATACTGGGGCTTTGCCCCGTTTTCTGTTGCTGGGAATTTTGAGACTAGCATGCGAAGAAGCCTGGGCTAGCTTACTGCAGGAGGAGAGACTACAGGACAGAGACAGAGCCCAGTCATGTAAATGAGGCCCAAACATGTAAATGAGGATACACTGCTAGACCACTCAGCTCCTGCTGAGCTGTCCCAGACCTGAAGAACCACCCAATCAACCCAATGAACAGAGAAATAATGAATGTTTGCTATTTTAATCCACAAAATTTGGGTATGCTTGTTATGTAGCAAAAACTAGTTGATACAGACATCTTGTGGACAATGATTCCTGGAACGGTTTTCTAGAATTAGACTTTCTGGGTCAAAGAATGTGTACACTTA